CTTTCTAGTGCTGTTAAGAAGTAGTCTCTGGGGAGAGAGGGAAGCTGATAGCATTGATAATTGTATAACTCCACTCGATGGGAATCAATGACAGAATTGCTTGTGAATGAATACATTGGATTGTGTAAGATATGTCAATAAAACTATTATTAAAAAGTAAAGAGGTACATCTCAAAAATTAACGGGTATTTCGCTCTTGTCCCATAGGGTTACTAGGAGTTGGCATTAAGTAAATGGCAGTGAGTTTGGTGGGGGGGTGTTTGGTTTTGTTGTTCAAGTGGTAATGGAGTCGGTGGTGATCCTTGTACACAAGTTGTAACTGTCGAAGGTGCAGGCGTGGCTGTGTACAGACACCGGACTCCCATCCAGTCGAGTGAAAAAGAATAATAAAACAAAAATACAAACACATCCAATACTACTAAGACCAACTTCACACACTGCACATGCACGCACGCACGCACGCACGCACGCACGCACTGCAACTAGCAGCTGTGTTCTCTTCCCCGCCACTCAGGTGTTCTTGTCACAGGCCCCCACAGTAGGAGTGCAGCCTTGCGTGCACAGGGCGAGGTGCTCACCTCTCTGGTCCACAGAGGGTTATGGGAAGTTAGGGATGACTCCACCCCTGTCATCCTGTGTCTGGACACCTGTGGTTTATCCAAACAACAAAAGAATAGGGAGAAACCACCACCGCCACAAGAAAGACAAATCCCCCAATCCAGACATTGTCTTAAGGCCCCTTCCTGGCGCTGACCTCCAGTACCCAGCAGTTGTGTGCACCAGGGATGGTTCCCCACCTCTGTGCTGTTATCGAGCAAAATGCTGGCAGGGTTGACGGGGAAACAATCCTTGGGGAAGGAGAGGGAAGAAACTTTGGGGCCTAGGACATGACACACCATCAGACTCCACTGGGAAACACCCCTAAAGGTCAACAAACAGACCTGGGACTATTTATATGCTTTTCTTTTGGTGTTGTTGGTTTTTGGTTGGTGGTGTTTTTGTTCTTTTGCTCTGTCTTGCTTTTTATTGCCTCTGCATATCTATCTAGATAAGATAGGTGGGATAAACAATCTGGAGGAGAAAACAATGGGACCAAGGGTTGGGGGACACCGGTGAGGGGGAGGTGGGGGCAAGGAAGGAAAATGCCAACAAACCCAGGAACAAGGGAACAAGTGATCTAAAGCCAATGGCGAGGAGGGCATAGGATGCCTGGTGGGGCTTGGTCAATGACAATGTAGCTGAAAGGAATTACCGGAAACCTGAATGAAGGCCGAATGTGATAGTGGGGCAAGAAAGAGGTAAAAGGAAATAGAGGAAAGAACTAGGAGGCAAAGGACATTTATAGAGGTCTCAATACAGGCATGCACATATGTAAGTATATTTATATGTACCGATAGGGAAATAGATCTAAGTAAATATATATATATATATATGTTAAGTATTAAGGGAGCAGACAGACATTGGACTTCCACTCAAGTACTTCCTGAACACAAGAACACTTTGTTCTACTAACCCGATGTTCTGTGATGCTCACATTCTCTGACATGATCACTGAACAAAAAAATGGGTGCATAAGCAAATGTGGTGAAGAAAGCTGATGGTACCCAGCTATTAAAAGATATAGCGTCTGGGTTCTTAAAGGCTTGAAGGTAAACAAGCGTGTGAGTTTGGATGTTCTAATTATCTTTCTGGATCCCTGCTTTGTCTTAAGACTTTGGCCTGGGAATTACTTATCTTGTAACCTTTGACACTTCTGAGGATTAAAAGATGATCCCAGCAGTTAAAAATTGTTTCATTTTATGCTCATTTTTAGATGACTGTCTTTATTGTGTGTGTGCATCTCTCTCTGCTTCTGGCTCACAGTGACCCTATAGGACTGGGTGAAAGGTAGAACTGTCGTCCTGGTGGTGCAGTGGTTATAAGTTGGGCTTCTAACTGCAGTTGGAAACCACCAAGCCCACCTGCAGCAGGAGGCGGCTTTCTGCTCCTGTAGAGTTAGTCTTGGAAACCCACAGGGGCAGATGGATCTAGTCTGTCCGATAGGGTCGCTACGAGTCAGCGTCAACTTGATAGCAGCGTTTGTTTTGCTTTGTGTGGTATGTTGATCAGTTTATGGGCCCCGACTGATACATGTCCGTACCTCACTCAGACTTCCTTAGTTCTCACGGTCTTGGGGCCCAGGGTCTCATCCACGACCTACTACTTTTGTCCTCCTGTCTCCTAGGTTCCTCTAGGCCATTTCAGCTTTTGATGACCTGGACAGTTTTGAGTAGCGTTGGTCAGGGATTTTCTAGAACGTTCTTCATTTGGGATGTTTGATGTTTTTCTCATGATTGCATTGAGGTTCTGGGGAGGATGACCACAGCAATATATTTTTGTCTCATCTTGTCGGTGGCCCATGTTCTCACCTGGCTGAGGTAGTGTTTGATCTTGACCACCAGCTGAATTTGTATCTGTTGGGTCAGTCTTTGCAATAGCTACCACCCACCCCACATGTTCCTGATCTCATCAGAGATGAGGTCATCATTGTGGGGCCCACACTTAAGGAGAGGGAGTTATGGTCTACCTGCTTGTGGGCTAAGTGCTTGGAATTTTTCTACATGTAAGATTTCTAATCTCATTTCATTCTATTAGTGTGGACTTCTTTGAGCTCTGACCCAATATTCCTTTATGTTGATGCTGAATTAGTTCACCCTGGGCCAGATCAGAAGCATGCTGCTCATGTACTTAATGGCACAGGCTCAGTGGGCCCCCCCCTCCCCCCCAAGGGGCTGGCCTGTTGTCGGTGCTCAGCTGACAACGTGTAAGGTATTACCTGTGTAAACTTGTGCTGATTAGAGACTGGGGTGTAACCACTGCGGTACCAATGTTAACATGCTTTTGCATGCTCCTGTCTCTTAACCTCTCACAATCTGTAACTTCCCGCCCAACCTCGAAAAACATGACACCGCCAGCATAGTTATTTTCACTAGCTACCATGACTGGAAACAACCTTTTTTTAAAAAATCGTTTTATTAGGGGCTCATACAACTCTTATCACAATCCATACGTGCATCAATTGTGTAAAGTGCATTTGTACATTCATTGCCCTAGAATGCCATTTTAATAGAAGAAAGTATTCTTGCATTGAGGGAGTACTTGAGTGGAGGCCCAATGTCATTCTGCTACCTTAATACTAAAACTATAAATATATATGCACATGGATCTGTTTTCCACAACCTCCGTTTTTAAAAGAAATGGGGCACACAATCCAAACTGCGTTTATGGAGAAATGGGTTAAGGCTTGGCTATTCCTGGAACAACGGGAGCAGCACTGCAAAAGCAAGGGCTGGCTACTTGCCTACTTTGGGATTTTTAAAAAATTAAATCATTTTATTGGGGGGCTCACACAACTCATCACAACCCATACATCGTGTCAAGCACATTTGTACATTGTTGCCCTCACTTCCAAAGAATTTTCTACTTGAGCCCTTGATAACAGGTCATTTTTCCCTCCTTCCCTAACCCTTGAATAATTTATGTACATATTATTTTTTAGTCTTGAACTTACCAATGTCTTCCTTCACCCACTTTTTTGTTGTCCGTCCCCCAGGGAGGGGGTTATATGTGGATCATTGTTATCGGTTTCCCCTTTCTCCCCACCCTCCCTCCTGGTATCACTACTCTCATTGGTCCTGAGGGGTTAATCTGTCCTGGATTCCGTTTCCAGCTCTTATCTGTACCGTGTACATGCTCTGGTCTAGCTGGATTTGTAAGGTAGAATTGGGGTCATGATAGTGGGGGGCAGGAATCATTAAAGAACTAGAGGAAAGTTGTATGTTTCAGCGGTGCTACACTGCCCTGACTGGCTCATCTCTTCATGAGTAAGGAAAACCCCATGGAGCTCAGGTCTACTCAGTCAAGATCAACTGAATGGTGATGGGTGTGACTTTTGGCTTTGCTTCGCAGGTGACTTGTGGGACAGACAGCAAGCACTGGCCACCATTATTCGCTGCTACCCAGCACTCCCGGGTCTTTTGGAAGGGCTGAAAGGCACCCTTCTGCTCGTTTCCTAGCATCTTGCCTGTCGATGGGCATCAAAGTTCATTTTTTCTTTTGCTGCAGCAGGCTTGCAAAGGTTCGTTGTTTTTCAGAGCATGTGGGAAGATTTCTGTTGGATAAATTTGCCAAACTGTAATCAAATTGTTCTCTAGCATCTGGGCCAATTTATATTCTATTGGCACGAGTGCATGCTCTTTAGTTTCTTCATGCATCCTGCAAAGAACCCATCGTTGCCAGGCTTAGACCTTTGTACATCAGATGGGAAGGAAAGCAGCCCATCTGCCCTGGTGTGCTTTCTGGATTCCAGTGAGAAAATCACTATCTTGATGTCTTTGGGTCAGAAACCATTGCTTGGACTGTTGGCGTGAACAAACTGAGGTCCCCACAGGCATAGAGCCCTCCACATCTGGGCCAACCAACACTAGGAGCATAGGGGCCACCAAGCCTGCCCGCCCCACTCCACCCCTTGCTGTTGTCTGCAGATTCCTGTCTTGCCTGTTCGGTGAGCTGGTATTTTGGTGACTTGTACAAGCAGGGAGTTAGTTTATCCTGTGGCTGGCCTGATTTTGATGGCTTATGCACTCCCATTTTTGTGAAGGATGTTTATGGTGGCTCTAGTCACACTGGTTGCTGACTAGTGTTGACAAGTGTTCCGTGAACTACTTGTTTTCCCACTGGCTTGGCTTGACGGGCGTAGAAGGGCCCTCTAGGATGTAGGCTGTTGGATTTGATGTCAAAGCATCCATCTGCTGAATAGTTCTTTGTGCAACACACACACACACACACACACACAGTAAAAAGACCCTTCCTCAAAGTGCAGGTCACGACTGCACTTGGTTTTCGGTTAGTGAGGTTTGGCACCTCTCTTCCTGTATGACAGTAACTCTACATTCCCATGTTCTATTGCCCCCTACCCCATGTATCCATCCACTGTCCACAGGAAAGCCACCACCACACAGTTTATCGTAGAATAGATTTATTTACCGGAAACCATGTCTGTGCAATGCTTGTTACAGCACAGAATTAAACAGCTGATCTCTATTTACAGTCTAAAGTTAAACATGCTCTGTGGTGATTGGACGCTTAGCATTTTTATTAAGGAAACGGCATCACAATATTTGTATTGCACCAACATCTGTTTACTGCTTCTGATATCATTAAATAAGTTACATTTAATACAGTGCAAATGAGCCATTTGCACGCAAAAAAAACCCCCCAAAACAGCTGAAGTCATGAATGAGAGGCCTATGTTTGAACCATTCAACACCTGTAGTGTTTCCAATGACGATATAAATAAGCAAGCTCTATAGGCCCATTGAAAAGTGGCAGGTTTCCATGACACCGATGAGAAAGGTTGAAGGCATGCATGACGGCGGCGGAGCGCTGGCTACTGGATCCCGAGACAGGCCAGGGCATTTGCTCAGAGAAGGATGGAGGTGTGACAGACTTTCTCCTTGCAGCAAAGACACCACATTTCTCTGGAGAGGATTTCTGGTTCACTGACGCTAATTGTACATTTGCAATTGTTATTTTGATTGAAAAGCTACAAACCCCGTTTGTGGTATTTACACATTTTCTCCACATCACACACAAGTCTGGGAGGTGGGCCTACGACCCCCCCATGCCCCTCCCCCCAGTCAACCATGCAGAGATCGGCAGATGTGTTGCTAAACACGCACATGCACGCAACTGAACACCCTTACATTTCTGCAAAATGGTTTAGGAAGCGGTTACTCCAGTATTGCTGAAAAGGAAAGAGAGAGGCAATCAGCATTATGAAACACAGAGAGGGAAACGGTAGAACTACTGGTTTATTTCAGACTGAGATTACAACAGTGACAGGCGAGAAGGGGGACTTGCATTTGACTAGCACTTCTGATACGTGGTACCCAAGGTGCACCTAGCAGGTGACTACCCAGAGGCATGTCCCCCTGGCCCTGCTTCGGTTTTCTGGCTACATGGCAAAGGCACTGGCCTGCGGGAGGGGCCCACAGGCAGCCCCCTCAGGAAAAGGCCTCGTGCTTAGCAGCTGCGAGAATGGCAAGGAGGGCTTGGTTAGCAGTGAGAGAGGGGTGAAGGGGCAGCCGAGGGAGCAGTGAGCAGCGTGGAAGCCTCCGCAGCTGGGTCCTGCTCAGGGGAGCCATCTGCACTCCCTACTCACACAGGAGCTGAAAGCTGCTTTGGGTCAGGAGAGCTCATGACAATTACAGATGCCTGGGGCGGTTGGCAGACAGGACCTGCATGGGGTCTGCCCCCTGCTCGTGGCCCCTAGGTGAGGGGCCCAGGGTGGGAACGTAGAGGAACTTGGAGTAGAGCCTCTGCTAGGCCATGGTGGTCTGGCGGCAGTGCCCCATGAGGATGCCTGTCCACTTCCATAGGGTGACTGGGGCCTCTCAGGACCCTTCCTTGTTGTGGGACTAAGGCTTGAGGCTGTACCTACGACAGTGGTGCACCTGTCCTGTGAGCCCAGCCATCCAGGCCTAGGGCAGGTAGTGGGTGACTGTCCTGAGCAAGCACGGAGCATCCAGCTGCCCAGACACGGTCTGCCATGAAGGTGTTTCACTCAGCCAGTCTCCTCTCATGCTTCCTGACACAAGTGGGACGGCCCGCATTCCTCAGGAGCCATAGTGGCCATGGCTGGACGACAGCCTGCTAGCTCTTCTAAGCTCAGAGCACTTCTTCGTACTTTGCTGCCCATGACCAACAACATCTAAGCCCTCAAACACAGGGACCAATCTCATGAGTTTGGGTCTTACTGCCTGACCCAGAGTGCAAGGCAAAGGGGCTCGGGCGACTCCGGGCTCCCACGCCTTCTGCTTCGTAACCAACAGAGCAGTCATGTGAGGGCTTGGCTGTTCAGGAATCCCAGAGGCAGCTCTGGGTCCTCCTGACCCCTTGGATTGATAGCAGTATTGTCAGTTAAGCAGCTAAATTGCAGGTAAGGAAATACTCACTTTAGTTGATGATGTTGGAAGGCATTGGAGGAAAACACCACGGTTAGGGCTGTTAATGACGTAAGACTGACCTTGGAACATGCGCAAACATCATCATCATAGTAACAGTGTGGTTAGTGCCACAGTAAAATAAAAATACTTCTATACAATATGTTCATTTGGTCATGTGCTATTTACAGATTTTACAAAACACACACACACACTTACACACGCACACACACAGCCCTCATGTTCTCTACAGTAGGCGGAGAGGCCAGCAGGGACTTGCACAAAACGGTACCACAGGTGACAACTCGTGTCTGTGCCGGGACACATACAATGCCTACTGCTAGCTCTGAGCAGGGCATTAGGGGGCTGCTATGGCTCTGAGCTAAGAACTGAAAAGCAAATGGAACTTATCTATTAGCTGAAGCTCAGCCGTTTAAGAGTTAAAAACAAGACAGCGATTGTTTTCTCTGTCCATTTAAAATGTTTTATTTTTCTTTTTAAACTAGATTGTGACGTGCCACTAAAATAGGCAATGTTGGCCAAAAAAATGTCTAGTTACAATAAAATACATTAGACATTTAAATAAATAACCATAAAAACCTGGTGAGGGGGTGTGAACCCAGTAGATTGAATCGGGAACAATGTTTTCTGCACAAGCGAGAACAGGCATACCTCTTGTTAGATGGATGTAAACAAAACCATGGAAACCCGAGGGGGGAGAAGCGGAGCAGGGTGGGTGGGGGTGGAGGTGAGGCAGGGCTGGGTGAGGAAGTGGCAAATCAGAAATACGGACTGACTGAGGTAGCAGTACTCTGCTCAGTGCAGAAAAATTGGCTTCGGAACAAAATTAGACTGTGATCCCAAATTAAATCCAGAATGATCATGCAGAAGACACAACACATGCTATTTAGTTTTATGAAAAAACCACACACATTCCTGTCTAAAATCTGCCGCCAATTAATTGCTGACAATATCTGCTGGCTCAACGATTTTGTTTGTTTTTTATACAAGGATGAGTATTAAACAGAACACTGTACATGCTTTTTCATCTACAAAAAAATATTTGCATAAAATAGTGTTAGTTCTCTGTACATGTCAATGGACACTTTAATCATGTGTATAAAAAAGGAAAATCTTGCCCCACTGGAGTCAGAAAAAGCAAAACAAAATCTAGAGTATGAAACCTCCTTCACCATCCAAATATGTTCATGTGAAAATTCAGCAGAAATAGACAGTTGCTTGAAACAATAAAAAAATTAATTGATTAAGTTAAACATCTTCTTTAGGACGAGCTGTCAGTCAAGACCAGAACATATCAGTGAAGTTAGTGTCTGTGCTATAGACCCAGACCACCAGGGGCACTACGAGCAGCACGAAGGGCCAGGAGACGCCGTCGGCGCAGGCCGAGAGCGAGCAGGGCCGAGCAGGCTGCACACACTCTTTACCGGGCTCCAGGTAGTTTCGGGCCACGAACTTGAGTGTCTCATCCAGGAGGATGACAGGTAGGGAGATCTTCAGCACCATCAGCCACTGGGTCAAGTTCAGCGGGGTGATCTGGAAGATGAGCTGCAGAGAGAAAAACCCCATTAGCCAGCAGTCAGTCTGGTGGGGACCCACAAGCCCACTCCTCGCAGAAGCTTGGCACTTACAGGCAGGGGCTCCACATAGAGGATGAGGAAGTGGAGGGACATGGACAGGCAGATGGAGCCAACTAGCCAGACGTTCTCCCAAGGGGGCATTCTCAGCAGGGACTGGTTCTCAGACAAGCTGCAGACAAAGGGAACTGTGAGGCACCTTACCCGTTCTGCTTGACCCCATTTCCCAGTCTCAGCGGGCTTTGCTGATGTAGGTCAAGCCTGCAATTTCCATCCTAGGCTTTGGCCAAGCAAACTCTATTTAGAAATTCCATTTTTGTTACTGGCTTAATTGCCTTGTTGCTAAAGGCCAGGAGCTCCTCCTGGAGGCCTGTGGGGGCTTCCAGCAACATCTAAGGCAGCACCCCTAACCTCCCCGTGGAACAGCTCCGTCTTCAGCCATGACTCTGGGGTCCTCACCTGTTGAGGGCGTTACACATCTCTATGGTCACAAGGACAGAAAGTGCCATTGTCATTGGGTACGGGGACTCAAAGATTGTGCAATCCACGCCTTCGAAGTCAGGGTTGTCCTCTTTACACTGTAGGAAGTGACTCTGCAGCAGAACACCAAGTTCCAGGTCAGCGGGGCCGCCTCCCCCCGCCCCACACCTCCTCCCACTCCACTCCAGACACGCGCCGGCTGCAGCCGGCTTCGCACAGCCCCAGTGGCTGGAGACACCAAGCCACAGGGAAGGTCAAGGTCAACTGGAGCTTTGCAGCCAAGGCAACCAGTAGAGGAGGCCACCTACCAGCTGATAGAAGGACACCCTCGGTCCGCCGTCAGCAGCAATGAACCACCATGCAGCAGCACCCACAGTGGCAGCACCCACATAACCTGGGGACAGAAGACGACAGTGCTCACACATATCCGCCCCTTTCATGGCAAGCCCAGACTCGCCACCACAAGATGAGCAGGACATGCCGCGGACGCAGACTGAGAGCAACTGCTGAACACAGCTGACAGGACCTTTCCTGGGCAGTGTCCGAACACCTCCTCCCCCGCCCATCACCCTGAATCGAAGACCTCAGGATGGGAGCGCCCCCATTTGGTAACACCAAATACAAGTGTACAGTCTCTGGCCCAGCTATCACCAGGAGCACGGGTGGCTGGTTAAAAAACTCAGTCTCAGCACAAAGGAGCGTTTAACGTGCCAGTCGCTTTTAGAGTGAGTACATGTAGGCGACTCCTAGGTGCACGCACACACACCTGCAGATGCACTCTCACCGACAGTTTCCATTGTGGACCACTTTGTGCAAGTCATGTGACTATTCTTTAAAACCCTGCCTGTGCCAGGGCGACTACTCATGGTGACCCTAGTGAACAGATGAGACCTGTCCCTGTTGGTTTCTGAGGCTGAAACTTTTTTTAACAATCATTTTATTGGGGGCTTGTACAACTCTTATCACCATCCATCCATTTTGTCAGGCACATTTGTACATCTGTTGCCCTCATCATTCTCAACACATTTGCTTTCTACTTGAGCCCTTGGTATCAGCTCATTTTTTTTCCTCCCTCCCCACTTCAGCTCCCTCATGAACCCTTGATAATTTATAAATTATTGTATTTTGTCATATATTATGCCATCCGACGTCTCCCTTCACCCACTTTTCTGTCCGTCCCCCCAGGGAGGAGGTTATATGCAGATGCTTATAATCAACTGCCCTTTTCTAACCCACCTTCCTTCCACCCTCGTGGTATCGCCAATTTCATCACTGGTCCAGCCGGATTTGTAAAGCAGAATTGGGATCATGATAGTAGTGGAGGGGGTGGGGAAAGCATTTAAGAACTAGAGGAAAGATGTGTGTTTTGTTGTCGCGACAATGTACCCTGACTGGCTCTTCTTCCAGGGGGCTGAAACCATGAAAATAGAAAGCTTTATTTTCCTCCCCTGGAACGGCTGGTGGTTTTGAACTAGCCACCTTGTAACCTACTTACCACCAGACCCAAAGACCATACAGCCCTTCTTATGGGGTCACAGGGTGCTAGTTACATCCGGGGCCTCACTTTTCCCAGCTTTTGAAGTGGGAAGAGAACTAGCACCCAGGTCAGGAGGGTTAAAAAGATGCGTGCTGGCTCTTGGCAGGGTCTGGTGCCAGCATGGTTCCCTCTTTTCCTGCCAGGTGGGGATGGCTCTACATTCTGGTTACTCTCTTCTGTTCAAGCATCACCTCAGAGATATAAGAGGGCAAGCCCCTACCTCCAGCTCCCCCTTTCCCTCTTGGGGTCTTTTGTGTCCCACTGCTTATTGTATAATATGGTTGAGTTGGCACTAGCCCAGGGCAGCCTCGTGTAGAGCAGGAGGGCATTGCTGGGTTACTCACCAGCTTCGCGACTGCAGCTCTGTCAGGGCCTGTTTTTAGGGTCAGTCATCTCCCAGAGGGAGGGCTATACCTGATGATTCTCTCATGCACCAGAGCCAAGGCCAAGGGTGCAGCTGAAGATACTGTAAGGCAGTGGTTCTCAACCCATTGGTCGTGACCCCTTTGGGGGTCGAACGACCCTTTCACAGGGATGAAGCAGCACCAAAAATAATTTTATGGTGGTGGTGGTGGTGGGGGTGTCACCACATGAGGAACTGGTATGAAAGGGTCACGGCATTAGGAAGATTGAGAACCACTGCTGTAAGGGATGGAGTAGTTTTAAGCAGGGCCTGAATTTATAGCTCCTTACAGACTAAGCATCCTACAGGTTTTGCTACACCAATACAGGATTAAAGAATCTCAAGTATTCCCAAACCAGTGATATGACAAACGTTACAGGCCTCCAAGCGCTGTTGAAATTTATCTAGTAACAAACTGTACTCACAACCAATCGCCAGATAACGGAAAAAGAGCCACCCGCTGATTAGCGGCTCCTTGGGGTTCCGGGGCGGTTTATTCATGATGTCCAGGTCAGGGGGGTTGAAGCCCAAGGCAGTGGCAGGGAGGCCATCTGTCACAAGGTTGACCCAGAGCAGCTGGACAGGAATTAATGCCTCAGGAAAACCCAGGGCCGCGGTCAGGAAAATGCTGTTGGCACAAGGGAAGAAGGACCTCAGGTTATTTTTTGCTACAACTTCCACACACACATCCTCCAATCCACAGATAGCAACCAAAAAGTTGCCCAAAGTAGTTCATAAGACATTATACCCAATTTTTAACTAATACAAACTTTTAGAGGGCCATGGAAGTGGTTCATCTAAACCAGCGGTTTGCCCGATTCATAACAGTAGCAAAATGACAGTGATGAAGTAGCAACGAAAATAATTTTATGGTTGGGAGTCACCACCACATGAGGAACTGTATAAGGGTGGAGGCATTAGGAAGGTTGAGAACCACTGATTTAAACTAATTTCTGGGCCGGTCACAAGGCCCATTCCCAATGTCCAACACACACACACACACACAAAGACCAAACGCTGCTGGGGATACAACTGGCCAGTTTGTAAGAACACAGGAAGAGAAGTGAGCCAGTAGGGACCCACCAGACGACCTCCCCGACATTGGAGGAGATGAGGTAGCGGATGAACTGCTTCATGTTGTTGTAGATGGCCCGGCCCTCCTCGACAGCGGCCACGATGGTGGAGAAGTTGTCATCGGCCAGAACCATTTCAGAGGCAGTCTTGGCCACAGCGGTACCAGAGCCCATGGCGATGCCGATCTCTGACTTCTTCAGCGCCGGCGCATCATTCACACCATCTCCCGTCTGAAAGGGAGACATGGGATGCTCAAGGAGGAGACAGAAAAAAGAGACCACAGCCATGCCCTTGGGAAGTGAGATCCCTGTGCTTGAACTTGAGATGAGATGTGACTTGGTTATGTGCCTCTGCCCCTGTAGGTTTCTGAGACAGAAACTTTTAAAATTCCCAGGCAAATCTTAGTTTCACTCTCCTCTGAGGTCTCCCTGGGCAATTTCCCAGTTAAAATGTGTGTTTTAAAAGCAGTGAAGTGCAAAGACATAGTCGGTCATCCCCGGGGATCTGGGTTTACTACATACTAAATTCAGAACGGTGGTGCTTCTAAAGGGAGCAGGGGACAAAGGCCGAGGAAAACCTGGTAGAAAGAAAATGAGTCACAGAAAGCAAAGTGGGGAACAGGTTGGTTCGGTTTAGAAATCATAGGAGGGAGCAGGGGTCAGAGGAGGGAGCAGGGGTCAGAGCAGTTGCCAAATCAAAACACAATTCAGAGTCTTGAATTCACTACTTCTAGTTCAAAGGTCAAGCCACACAGTGTGGCTCCCTCACCATGGCTGTGATCTCATCGAACGACTGCAGAAACTCCACGATCTTGGACTTGTGTGAAGGTTCCACCCGTGCAAAGCAGCGGGCAGTTAGGCAGGCGTCCCTCTGGGCTGGGGGGCTGAGCTCATCAAACTCCCGGCCCGTGAAGGCCTTCGCCGTCACATCCTCGTCCTGCCCAAAGATGCCGATCCGGCGACAGATGGCCACAGCAGTGCCTTTGTTGTCTCCGGTGATCATGATGACTCTGATGCCTGCCTGTCTGCACAGCTTCACTGACGAGGCGACTTCGATCCTGGGGGGGTCCAGCATGCCCACACAGCCAACGAAGGTCAGGTTAGTCTGCATGGAGAGAGGCATGTCTGTTTCAACAGAACGCTGCCCCACCCCCAGTTTGAATATCACAAGCAAGTTTCTGCCTTTCTTCTTTTTTGTTGCCATTTCCACATGTACAGTTCAGGGACACTGTTGCTATCTGGCTTGCTCAGCCATTTGTTCCCTCCTCTTCCGAGCAATTCCTTCCCCGGCTGACTAGAACACAGCCTCCACCCTGGCTCATCCCAGAGCTCGTCTTAAGACAAACACCGCCCACGACAGACGTTCTCTCCCAGGTCAGATGAAGCGCGGCTGGAGTTTAACAATGGTTATTGCAAGAACTGCATAAACGAAGTACAAGCATGCGTCACTGCAATCAGCACTGTGTTCACGGCAGCCTCCATTCTCAGGCCGAGACTCAGCCTGCAGCCAAGCCAGGTGCCCTGACCTTCCCTGAAGGGCACTGCTTGCCTAGTGGTCACCAGTGTCGGTGCAGAACCACTCACCTCATACTTGATGAAATTGGCTGAATCCTCCAGGTTCATGTCCTCCCTCTTCAGGGGGTTGTCATGAGTGGCCAGAGCCAGGCACCGAAGGGTGTCACTGCCACTGCCCCACTCCCGGATGACAGACATGATCTTCTGTTTGACCCCAGGGGACATGGGAACCTTTGTGCTTCCAACTCGGATGTGGGTGCACCTGTCAATCACACCCTCGGGAGCACCCTGGAAAGAGAGGGGCAGACGAACACTGCTGTTACCAACAGGGCCCCAGGCTGGGAGGATGCCCCAAGTCAAAGGCATGTACTTGCCTTCACAAACATCTTGCTCATTGAAATTCGGCTCGGTTTGTTCGGAGTGCAGTAGACCGACATCGACTTTCTATCACGTGAAAACTCTAGGGTAAATTCTTTTTTCATCAACTGTTTAATGACCTGTGGTAAAGAGAACAAACATGCAGTCAACTTAGATGAGCTGTTAAACTACTTCACTCCGTCACATGTTCCACTGAAGCCAATATGGATGCATCACTGAGCACACACACCTCATGATTCTAGTTTAGGAGAGAGGAAGTGGAGGGTCAGAGCAAACTGTGACAGTTAAAATCAAATGGCGGTATATGGGACCAGAGAGAACGTTTGCTAGGGGCAGTGTGCTCACCCAGAGAGGTGAGAGGACCCGGTGTGACAAGTTAGCTCTGATCAGCTCCCCTCTCCTGAATACACAAAGGAGGCCACCCAGCGCAGTAGTGGGGAACCCTCCTGCCACTAGTGTGGCAGTTTGATGGCACACAACCAGACCTCCTGGCACAGAGTCGGTGCTGACTCATAGCCACCTCAGCGGGCAGAATGCCGGTGAGTGTCAGGGCTGTACAGAGTCTCCTCTTTCTCTCCTAGAGCAGCTGGTGCTTTCCACCTGCGACCTGACAGCGCCCAACTCTCCACCACGTGCCATCGGGGCCCCTGGGAAAGCACGAGCATCACTTGTAAAGACTCAACACACGCAGACCCACATAGATCGAGAACCGCATCGTCTTCTCAACCTTCATGTGGCTGACAAGGTGAGTGACCTGAATTTCCCATTAAGACTCCTCCTTAATCACCAGAAATTCAAGGGTACTCGGCATCTTTCTAGGACACTACGTTAAACTCAGTTTGGCAGACTGGTGATGACTGTGCTGAATCTTGTCTCCCTGACAAGAGGACAGAGATGGGTGTGTAGTCGTTGGGTGGAAGATGTGGGCCCCAAAGGAAGCCGTGTCCTTGAGGGGTAAGAATAGGCCCTCGCTCTTTCTGAGGCGAGGCAAGGAGTCTGCACCAGGAATTTCCAGTGACTGAGTGCTATGACGAAGCTGCTGTGGAAACAATGAGGCAGAGGAAGCCCGGAGGCAAGACTCTGCTGACCCCGGTGTCTAGAAGCAGGCCATCCTGCAGGCAGGGAGCGCAGGGTGTGCCAGCAGTTCTAAACCTGTCTGGGTGGCTCTGCCGGGACTCGCCTCGTGTTGATGATTTGTTTGTGGTTAGCTGTTCGTCGAGGTTCATGCTGAGACGGAGGCACAAGCCTGGTCTGGTCCAGTTTTACAGAAGCCCTAGAGATGGGGCAGGAATCCACAGGTGAGATTCCATTTTTGAATCATGACTGTCTCCCTTGACAAACTACTTCGGCTGAGTCATTCAAAATGTCCAAGCTATTTTCTTAGGACACTATAAAAGTGAAAATGACCTAAAGGCAGGAAGGGCCCTGGCACAAGTTCTACTCTGCCTCGCAGAAGGTACGCTTTCCCAAATGTGGTTTGATGGAACCCACTCTGCTCACAGCTTGTGCATGATCACTAAACTACTTGCACACATATAGAAAAACGACCCCAATGCCAAAACTGAGGCTCTCCTCTGCCATCCTTATCACCACAGTGCCACCTCATTGGTGAGGGAAGGATGGCACAAAGGGTTTGTGACAGGCAAACATCAAGGTAACAACAGCTGGTCATGTAGCAAAAAGGAGACTTGCCAGAAAGACGGTTCTGGCGGCGCCTGTCTAACCTTTGGAGTGCTGTGTGCTTCCCAGACAGCTGACCTGTACATCCTTATTCCAGGTTGGCAGGTCACGGCTGGGACTGGCCCGTCCATGGCCCACTGGGGCAGGGGAGGCTGCATGCCGCTATGGCCAGCCACAGTGGTTTCACCAGAGCCTGGGCTCAGCTGTTCCCAGGGTGATGGCACAGAGACATACTTGAATTCTAGGCTGATGCCTACACGTGGGTTTCTTTGCTTCTGCCTTGCTGCTCTGAGCTTACAGACAACTTGTTTATCTTCTTGGCCATCAGCTGCCACTTTAGCCAAGAGAGGGGGAGGGACAGTCCCATCTCCTGCACTGAGCAGGACAGTGCTATCACCCATTCTGTTAGGGTCTGGTAGCCTTTGGGAGGGCAGCCAGATCACAGAGGCATTTTCAAGTCACAAAGGCGCAAGAAGGAAGTCATCAGAGCTGAAGCCACGACTGTCTGCTCATTTCTCTGAGCTCATATTACCTGACTCCACTTGTTAAGAATGGATCGCCATATCCATGATAGAAAGCTATGAACAAAGAGTCCTTTAACTTTTTTCCTTGTGTCCATGCCACGTTTGTTGGTCTTGGTAGGCGAGTTCACTGTGCTTTCTTCCTCAATGTTGGGGCAAGTTTACAAGTGAAAGCACCCAGCCCTTGAGAAGTCCTGTGAGATCTCCTTTAAGCAGTTAAACATACTGGTCTTTTATTTTGTCTTTGTTGTCTTTTCCTACTTTGTGTTTTTAATTTCTGGTTTGAGGTGGAGTCTTACAGCATCAATTTTAAGATTTAAATGTGTTGTTGAGCTAGCTGGCCTTTTGTTTTAAACATGCAGCCTCTTCCACCTCAAATGTGTCCCGAGCCTTGCTTGGTGAGCCAGTGTGTCTGTCGGTGGGCACGCAGAGTCCTATGAATAGCACGGTGGGAACAAGGGTGAATGCTTCACTGGTACTCCAGCTTTGTTTCTTAACTCCTCTCCCCTCTGCTCTGCGGAGAAGGGAATCGTCGCGTTGAAGGCTTCTACTCTGAGGGCGCCTGTGCCTGCGTCTCCATGTGCGTCTCAGTTGCTGCGTCATGTACTCTCATGGGTCATGGTGTGACTCACCCCAGTGGATCTGTCCCGTGTCCTGAGGACACGGTAGCCCTGACAGGAACCCTCTCAGGCAGGAGATGGGCTGGAGGACATTTTAAAAACTGGGGCGGTGAAATGACATCCAGTCTGAGGAGCTTTAACGTGAAGGGACAAAGACGAAGGGATGTGCATAGGAGACAGTCAACACTTTGCTGACCTCGAGTGCGCTCAGGTTCAAGTGTTAACTTGCGACAGGCCAGCAACATATTACACAAACCACACCATATTTTCTCCCAAGCTGATGAAGACCACGTGGAGATGGGAACTTCGATGGTACTTGGAGGGAGTGGTGTGCGATGAGAGATGGTGGGCACATGGGGCTGATTGTGGAAAGGAGCTACTGCATGCTGCCTTCCTTTGTGAAGTGGACAGAGAGGCCATTTTAACAGAGTTAATGAGGGCCACTGGCAGGCAGTTGGAGGAGATAGGAGTCTCAGTTGTAAGTGACTAGACTAGGGAGACTAGGTTAAGCCTGAAGACAGATGACAAGAACACCACACCAGATGCAAGCAACACTGACCGAGTTGCAGGCGTTTGCACGTTCAATTTTAGAAAGACCCTTCAATTCCGTATCGAATACATTCATCTTCTCTACCAGACACGTGAGCGCGGTCTCTGTTGCTTCTCCCACCTTTTCATATACCCCCTTTGCCTGTATTGGGGAAGGAAAACAAACAGGTAAATTTCTCTCAAAGTGTTCTATTAACTCACATTTCTTATCCAATTGATGGAGCAAGTGAAAAGTCATGCTTTTAAATTTTATCGGTAATTCCTCATCACTGTTTATATTAGTTTTTGTTGGTTAAATATTTTATTATTATCAAGCTATCAAAAATGGTCCTTTTCAGAAATACAGTGCTACTTGTTTGAAAAAAATCAAAATCAATATTATTTTCATGAAAATTATTTCTATCTTGGGTCTTATTCACGCATGGTAATCACATGATGGGGCCTCCAGAGGTCCATGGAATTTTCTCAGTTTCTCCTATACTTTGTGAAGTCCCCTCGGAGATGGGAAATGAAGCCAGGAGCCCTCATTTTCCCAAGGGGGAGGGTTGGGTTTTTGGTGTCCCTACCCCACAACTAGAGCAGCCAGGCCAAGCGGGACGTTAGGACTCCCTTACCTCATTGTAATCCAGAGCAGAGTCATTACACAGAGCACAAATTGTTGCTAATTCTACTAGACCATCATACTGGTGGCACTTCACAGGTTTATCATCCTTATGCCTGTCAAAAGATAACAACAATTGTGGGGACACATAATCAAATATTCTAAGTGATGGCTCTTGGTAGCCTTAAGGCTACTAGAGTCAACGCTAGACAAAGATAAAAAAATCTTCTGGCGTCAGAACTTGATGGCTGAAAAAGATACAAAGTGGTTGTGAATCCCCCTTACCATGAGAGAACTGAAAATTTGGGCTTGAAGGCAGCTAAAATTGAGGATGGTGGGAAAAGGGCCCTTTGAAACTGTATGTTTTAGATCTAGTCTGTGTGTGGGTGCGGGGTATTGCTCTGTAAATACAGAACAAACCTATACAAATACCCTGCCACACAAGTTCTTTAAATGGCACAGGGAGGACTACTCACACGTCTCCTATAGGTGCGTATGTGGATCCAGTTATGGTAAACTCATTCAGGGAACAAGTATCACCTTCAACTTTGTCCAGAATGAACATCTGCAGGGAAAAAACATAAAAGCCATTGAAAGTCTAAGCTTTTGGCCAGGCAAAAAGTCACCCTCAATTAAATAAAACCATTTTCCTAAAGGCTGCCCAGTGGAGCTGCGCATCAGAAGTGCAGTGTACCTGACCACGAGGAGCAGCGCTGCGGATGCAATGTGTGAGCAGTGGGACCACCTACAGGAGATGGAGGTAGAAGGGTGCTGGGCAGCACGGCCTCAGCACCACCTTTCTAACTGTAAAGTAAATACATGCAACCAGCTTTCTCAAAGGACGAGGCGCTCGACGGGCCGGTTTTCAAACACTGAAAATGCCCAAGGCTTCATTTCAAAGGCCGTCTCGGAACAAAATGAATGTTCTGTTATATACCAGGTGCTTTTTTAGAAGGCTGGGCTAGAAAGCCCCAGTTCAGGCATGTAGTAGAGCGACAAATACAAAAACCTGAAAGTCCAGAGCCAGGCACAAGAGGGTTGCTGGCACCTAAGTCACTTAGAAAATGAAGCTTGTCCAAAATGCTCTTTCCAAAGATGCTTGACACTGTCTCTCCTACAAAGTAAACAGTGTTCAGAGTCCCTTCTGGGGAAGAGCTCCTTATACTGAAAGTGCCTTAAGAGTCCCAAGTCACACGTGAAAACCCTCCACCTGCACTAAGAAGACAACTGGGAACTGGCGACCCCTTCCCCTTCCCCATTTCTTTACTCCACTCTGGTAGAGACTCGAAGGGTTTTACTTTTTAAACAAAGGCGCTCCAAAAAGTTCCCAGAAAAAAGACTTTCTAAAAATCTCCCCTGGTAGAGGCCAAGATACCTTCAATCTTACCACCCCTAACTGGGTGTGAGTAGCGAGGGGCAGGAGGGGCCATGTCCCAGGTTGAGGGCGGCTACGCCACAACACACTGCAAGCTTCCTCTTGCCACCTGAATACTGATGACCCCACCGTCTGGGGCCATACGGCAGACCCACACACACCTCCTGCTGGCAAGCCTTCTCATAGCTAATGAAAGAAAACATTTTAAATCAAACCATTTAAAGGAGACTAAAATACCTATTTTTTCCCCTTAGATTACTTTCCTAGAATAAGAAGACTATCCAAGGTATTAAGGCTTCTGGTTAAGTGAAAACAAGTTACTGGGTGAAACCAATGCCATGTGGGAAATTCCTCTTCTCCCCCAAAACAACCGCCCCAGGACAGTTGAGGGAACCTTTTTCGGGTCCAAGGAGTGAGATCAGCAGCAGCTCTGCTCAATCCTGCTGTGATCCGAGGAGGAAAGCCCACTGTAGGAGCGCTAGTCCCCAAAGCATCCCAACCCTGAGCTACCTGACAAAGAACTAAGGTCTTAGTAATCACCAGGCCTTTAAAGGGGGGGCGAAACAGTAAAGGCCAAGAGGGGGGCCTAGACCCTTCCAACCCCCCAGGAGCCCTTTAAAGATGTGATTCCATATTCCAGGAAAACTAAGCTCTTGCTACTTCACATGCAGGACTCTATCTTGTGAGTTATGGATTTGTGCCCTATAAGCAAGGACCCCAGTCAGTTCTGTAAACCTACCTAGCAATGGTCTCAACCTAGAAACGTTTCCCTAATTCTTCAGCTGTTCTTAATCACACTTTAATCACGGCTCCCTCGTGAAGGGCCTACGCCTATGGCACAGGTTCCCTCTGTGTTTTCTGAGAGCACATGCAACCTTTTGGAACATGTCACTTTGACACTGTAATGTCTGGGGTTCTGCGATGTGATTTATTGTGTAAGTCATTCCCCTTAATACAAGAAAGGCAGCCATGTGGCAGTCCTGTATTCCACGAAATAATTTTAGGATTATCTGAAGCGCTGGAAATCCCTTGGGCTCCAGGATACCAAATATGATGTAAATTTGTTTAAATCACACAGATAAGTATGGGACCTTACCCTGCAAACTGACATCTGATTTGTCGTAAGTGTACCAGTCTTGTCTGAGCAGATAACAGATGTACAGCCAAGAGTTTCCACGGACGGCAGGCTTCGAACAATAGCGTTTTTCTTTGCCATTCTGCGAGTTCCCAGGGCGAGACAGGTGGTGATGACAGCTGGCAGGCCTTCAGGAATGGCTGCGACAGCCAGGGCCACTGCGATCTTAAAGTAGTAGATAGCACCTCTGATCCATGAGCCTCCGTGGACTGGGTCATTGAAGTGTCCAATGTTTATGATCCAGACGGCAATGCAAATTAGGGAGATGACTTTGGATAGCTGTTCTCCAAACTCATCTAGTTTCTGCTGGAGGGGTGTCCTCTCCTGCTCCGTCGCCACCATCTCATCCCGGATCTTCCCAATCTCTGTGTTTACCCCAGTTGCCACCACCACTCCCATGGCTTTTCCAGCAGCAATGTTTGTGCCCTAAGAGAGAAACAAAGGGCAAGTCAGAAGACAGACCAAACAGGTGACCAACCAGCCAATTCTGCTTTTGTAAACTGACTAAAGCATCCACCTTCTCCTGGGTCCTCTTGTGGCTACTTTGAGGCAATCAGCCACTTGGTAATTCCAAGTGGACACCTCTTTACCCACCACAGCTCTACCTGGACCATTTCAAAACCTCTACTTCAACAAAACCTTCTCTGTGGGCTTCAGCCCAGTCCTAATGGCTCCGCAGAGGAGCTCTGGTGGTGTAGTGGTTTTGAGTTGGGCTGCACTCCACAAGGCCAGTCATTTGAAACCACCAGCTCCTCAGGAGAAAGATGGGGAGGGGGTTGTTTCTACTCCTGTACACAGTTACCATCTCAGAAACTCACAGGGGCAGCTCTACCATGTCCTTTATGACAAGGTGGCTGTGAGTTGGCATCAACTCAATAGCAGCAAGTTTTTCATGTGAGAATGTCGCAGCTGCTCCAGATTGGTAGTTTGAACTCACTAGCTGCCCCCTCTAGGGAACTTCTATTGTCACCATGAGTTAGGATCAATGGGATGGCAGTGCATCTCCCAATCTCTCTCTAGTTGTGAGAAGAGGTGCAGCCAGCCCCATGGGCTACCACTCTCATACACAAGCCACACACCCTGTCCTATTTCGATCCCAGAGTTAGGAAGCTATACTTCATTTTAACTGTAATGACTCAGTACTTCACGAACTAGGAGTGCAGGGCCTCTCCCATTAATTAACCCACAGGCAGCCACCACTAGAAACACCACTTCAGATTCCAACAACTAAGCTCTTGTGAGTTTTCATAACCCCTTACTTTAAAACTTTTCAAATCAACAGAGGAACTAAAAGTATGGTTCAAGTATCCATACGTTTAATGGGAAACTTACCCAATTAAACAGCAAACACCAAACATATATTGAAAGCACCCTTAAGTTTAGAGACGAAAGCTTTTGCACACATATCCAGGCAAACTTGCTGCCATCAGTCAACGCTAACTCTTAGCACCCTATTGCTTAAAACAGTTGGCAACAAGTCATAGTTCTTGGAAAAATGGAATGAAGAGAGCTTTGTGAAGTCCCCTCATACACGGTGTTGCTTCTCACTGGAAGCTGGACAGACTGATGACCCTTAGGAAATAGCGCCAACACCGTTGTGGGCCCAACATGGAAGATAGGCAGTGATTGCTCACACTCTTTGAAAACATGGCCAAAGAAAAATAACCAGGATGGATACTCACAGAGAAGAGCATGTTTTTCTTATCTTGGTTGACAGCTCGTGGGTCAGGGACAGGGTCAGTGTGCTTGATGACCGAGACAGACTCACCTGGGCAGATGGCAAGATGGGATGGTTAGTGCCAAGCTGTTCACCCCACCCTCACCACATCCAGTGTAGGAGAAGGACAAAAGGCCCAATTCCTTCAAAGGAGGTACAACCAGGCTAATTCTAGAAGAAAAGACTGTCAGGATTAAAATGTCTATCACATCAAAACAAATAATGCAGTTTACACTTTAAAGCAGTCCTAGGATTGGTACACCCTTGGAAACCTGAAGGGCAGTTCTCCTCTGTCCTGTGAAGGGTCTATGGTTGGAACCAGGTCAGTGGCAAGGGTCTTCAAAAGTTTATGGGGAAATCTTGTTGAGACCACCCTCTTAACTAAGTAAAACTGAAATCAAGCCGTCTGCAGTAACCCTGAACACCGCGTGTCATCAAAAACCAACTTGAAGATCTTTTCAAATGTCTTGGTTTCAAACTCAGGGTCACTGGTTACTTAAGGACTTGATGAAAGAAGCCACGTAAAACTAACGAGACCCCGCACGCCAAGGGCGTTTTAAACATGGCCACTGTGAGAATCTCACACAACCTAGCCATTCCCCGATGCTTGGTGCTGTTAATGCAAACATTACCTGATTACCTGACTGGCTTTTTCTTTTCCTTTCTCCTCCTAGTAGGCATGTGGTTTTATTTTATCACAGACACAGCACTTCAAGATAGATCTTGATGGGTTGTTTGTTTTTTTTTTAAATTGGGGGCTCTTACAGATAGATCTTAATCCATAATGCAATTGTATCACGCACACTTGTACATATGTTGCAGACAGGCTATTCTTAGACACAGTACAGAGAGCACAGGTTACGCAAACTGCTACTTTTATACCAGTTGCTTTTAAAAACTGACAATCAGACCAAAAAATCTTGACGTTGATAACCTTGACGTTTCACATTAACTCACAATTTAATTCAGGTTAGAACTGTATTAAAGTTAATCTCCTGGCAACGTTATTTCTACTTCATCAGGCCTCTCCACCCTTTATCAAACAAAACTGGGAAAGGGTCCCAACAACCCCCCATCTGGTGTGTGACTGCCAGGGAGCAATCTTCGCCAACCTTTTCTTGTGCTAGCATTTGTTAATTGTGAAGTATACTAGATGTGCGATTAGCCATTTCTCCAGAGGAAAACATCCCCGCCCTAGAGCCAGAGCCCCCTCCCTTTCCACAGGACAGGAGAATGACTAAATGCTTAACTTACCCTTGCGATCACTGCCTCTGCTAATGAATAGCCTTTCACACACCAGCCTTCATTTGTTACATTTTAAACACAAAGCTTAAAAAGCTAGCGAGTTTCCCCCTCCATGCCTTAGTCCCAACTTAGCACTGCATCGAGGGTTGAGATGAGATCTTCTAAGAGGGACACTGGGACAGAGTCAACCCATCAGTGGGGACATGGGAACGGCTTCAGAACCCAACACCACTCTGATCGTTACCTGTGAGAATCGACTGGTCCACTCGGAGGGTTGTTGACTTGATGGAAGTCAGTCTTATGTCAGCTGGAACTTTGTCACCAACTGGGGGGAAAGCAGCTCAAATAAGCATCTCTGGCAATCACATCACAGTGACAAGTTTGTCTGGAGACTAAGCACATTTTAAAAAGAAAACAAAAGGGGCATATACACAAAATATACAGTGGAAACAAAGAACTATCTACCAGAACAAGCAGGTGGCGGGGAGGGTTCGGAGTTGAGCTAGCTATACTCAGAGACACCTCAGCCTTCGGGTCTGTTTAATAAACCGTAAGTAACTCAGTTATTTTCTGAGGGCCCAGGACACATAGGCATGAATGGGGGGTGGGGATTATATGCCACAGCTTGTTCCATCAGAAAAGTAAAATTACTATGAATAAAAAGCAGGTAGCTCTTTTGAAAGATGCTCAAACCAACAAACATGAACAGCTGAGAACATAGACCAGGTTGGCAGATCAGGGTGATGGTGAAGTCTGGACACTGGGCTAATTAGTCAGCAAGATGGCCAGAGGGTCCCCTCAGGGGGGAGGGGGCAGGCAGAGATAAGCACTGATGGGGATCAACTAGCACACAAACTCTGGGCCTTAGCACACCAAGAGGTACCCTACCACCTGCTAGCATTCTTAATTCCCTTATGTCCCCAAACCTCTTCACGTCTGCTGAGGAACAGGGCATATAAATTCTCTGGAGGGCTATTTGGAAGTATTTACTAAAATTGTGAAGGTTCCATGTTTTTACCCATAAATTCCAGGATATACTCTGTAGACATGCTCATGCAATATGCAATTCATTCTTTTTTTTTAAAATGAAAAGATCATTTTATTGGGGGCTCTTACAACAACCCATACATCAATTGTATCAGGCATATTTGTGCATATGTTGCCATCATTCTTTTCTAGACATTTACTTTCTATTGAGCCCTTGCTATCAGCTTCTCCTCCCCCTGCCCTCGTGACCTCTTGATAAATTTTAATTTTCATATCTTACACCAACTGCTGTCTCCCTTCCCTCATGGTTTCTGTTGTTCGCCCCCCACCCCAGGGGTGCGTATGGTTACATGTCGTTCAATGAGATCAGTTCCCCCTTCCTCCTCTCCTCGCTCCACCTTCCCCGTACCCCTGGTATCACTATTCCCATTCCTGCTCAAATTCAGTTCTCGACAGCATCCTGTTGTGTTACCCTGTGTAGGAAGGCGAGTCCTCTCTACTCCAAGGTAAGTGAGCAAAGATGGGACTGTGTTAAGTGGGGGAGGCCAACTGAACACACCCCTTACCTCTTTTCTGGGTCCCTTCGGAGCCATCTCTTGCGTCTGGCCTAAAGTAAAATGCCACACCCAGACCATCACAGATACAGCCAAGGTTTGAATGCCCCAAACAGCTAGAAATTAAGATGTTCCCAGAAATGCAGATCAATCTAAAACAAGGGCTTTGTCTATGAAGTAGATTCATTTTACTGGTTAAACACTTATTCACTTCAGTCCCCTTATTCGATGCAGGGTGGGGATGGCTTGCTGCAACTAACATGGGCAGCGTGGTCATGGTCACAGGCAGCACAAGAGAGCTGTCTGTAGTGAGCCTCAGGGACACAATGAGCTATGGTGAAATTCCTGATGGAAATGCTTATGCAACCACCAGGCAATCTTCAGGCAGCACAGACGAGAAGCTCCAGTCGTGGCAGAACCCTGCCCTTGCCCTTTTTGAAGGGGTGCTTCAAGCAGATGATAAAAGGAGAATGTGACCTGTGACAAGTTACATTTTCAGCTGCTGGACTGAAAAATTTTTCTGCTTGCCATAATCTGACCCCACGTGTCCTTTTACAAGTAGAAAAGTACTTGAAATTTTATTTTTTGATGTCTGAAGTGGTTGCTGTCACTATCTTACAGGAGCAGAAGCCACTGGTGTGGCATGCAAGTAGGTCCCTATACGAAAACTGTCCCTATGAGAGTTTCCAAGACTAATCACTCTTTACAGGAGTAGAAAGTCCCCTCAGTCTCCTGAGTTTGGACTGGCTAGTGCCTTTCAACTGCACCTTGAAGTTATCTGCTGAACATGTAACTGTTACAGCACCAGGGATCCTTGTAAACAATCTCCAAATACTAACTGCAAGGTCGCCCAACTTATACTGAAAGCTGAATCTTCCTATTTAAAACAAATTCTTGATCACACTTACAGCCACCCAAATCTAACATAAGGATATCAAGGTGGTGCCAGCTCACATCTTGGCATTTACTCAGTGGGAGAGGAAGTTGTTTTCAAGGCAGTAAGTATCATGGTGTAATATGGTTTAAGGTGGGACCAACGCTGAATGTATGCTGCATACAAATTCTCTTTCACAGGCATTATAAAAAACCCAACTCTTATTCCCCTAAAGGCCCATACTATTATACCTGTGTGAAGCCTGGCTCTGGGCTGTGCAGAAACCCTATGGTTCCAATATTTGCTTTTAGCCTGAAAGAACCATTCAGGTGGAACCACCTGGGGAGCCCTTAAAAATGAGAGCTCTGAGCAGCTGTCACTGTTCTTCAAGAGCCTGAATTTGAGGCAGGGGCCTAGAATCTGTATTTGTGAAGTTTTCCCAGACTCGCTGAAAAAATTAGTACAAGAAAAACCTCCACAATAATTAGGGTCAAAGATCCTATGAGGCACCTTTCCCAGCACTGTGCCACGTGTGCCAAGTCAAACCGTACACCACTTTCTCCTAGGTGCTGAGAGAACCTTGGGTTCTCTTTCAGCTTGACCAACTGCACACCCTGCTGTAAGGACAGTAAATTAAATAGGTTCCACGCAGGATGGCAGATTCTCTAAGTAGATGGAAGGCCCGTGAATGTAAGGGCAGCATAACTAAGGCTGAACCACTTTGCTTTGTCCACAGGTTTCTGTGCAGGACAAGCCGGCACTCCTCACAATCAAACCCAGCAAGGTTTCCCTGATGGGCCATGTCAGCGGCCCGAGGGCAAGTGCTAGTGGAAAATTCTAACTCTTGCCAAAGGGATGTTCTGCAATTTTATCCTCTGTTTCTTTTGGTTCCCTGTCTCTTCAGGTCAATCAGATATAAAATACTCTAATAACTACCTTCCACCTGTCTATCCCCTGACACTTGTCAAATTCCTCTCTTGGTTCCTAAGTCCAGAGCTCTGTCACCTTCCATATAAGAAAGAGTGCCCACTGGGGGTTCTCCCTACTGAAAGACGGAGTCAGATAATAGAAGAACACATTTTGGAGTGATAGTTAAATATACACTTTCTTTACCTTAAGCTCTTGAAAGGGGTGTTTATAAGTCATGATACTTAAAACACTTTCTTTTATGGCAAAAATAAACACTGATGGTTAAAAAATATCAATAGGAAAGGTTTTAAGTATCTAAAAGAAAACTGTAAGAAATACAGTACCTCCTTTTTAGAAAACTCAATCAATTCACCTGAATTACTGAAACATTTGACTGTTACTCAAATAGCTTCACTGTGTTTCCAATTTGAGTCATACATTTTATAGTGAGGCAGGAAGAATGAAATTCTTTACTAGAGAAACCCAATTTGTAGACGTAAACAGTTTTCCTCCTTTCCCGTTCAGCCCATGCCCTGGAGTAGCTGTAAACTGCCACAGCGTGCTGCTGCATTTGCTGCACACTGCCTTTTTGTGAAGAAGCCCTGCTTGTGCTGTGCGTGAGCACTCACCTTCAAAGGGAAGGGACGGCCGTGGAACGTACCAGGTATTCCAGGGGACAGAGATGTCTGTAGAGACTACACCTTGGGAAGTCTCTGGAGCAGTTCTCCTCTGTCCCATGGAGTTGCCAGTAAGTTGGAATCTATGTGACTTTAAAAATTGGGGGTGGGGTGGGTGTAGGTGTTCTGTATTTGGCCCTTTCCCAGGCTCCTCCCCACAACCACCCTCAATTGGAGAGCACAAGAAAGCTGTCACAGTGGTAGAGGGTCTGTCAGTAATCACATGAGAGAGCTCAGACTTGGAAGTGACGACTGTCAGGACACAGGGCACGGACTTCACACTCTCCAGTTGGCATAACTGGGTCCAATGATCACCCTATAGAGCCAACTCATCTCCACGCTCCCCTCCAGAGCTAAGTGAGTATTTACAACAGGTCATCTAAAGAAGAGTAAATAAGAAACACCTAAAGAATGGAAGCACTAGCTCCAATGAAAGAACAGTCTGGGTACAACTGACCAAAAATTGACACGTGGGCATGGCTCAAGTAAACATTTGCAGTGATTGTTAGTACGTAAGAGGAAGACCACCCCTTTCCACCCATTCAAAGCCACTTACTAAGCAGTTTAAAAGTGCAATATTGGACACACCCACCACGCAGGTTTCAGTCTATTACAAAATTAGCGTATTCTTTGGCGCAAGCGAGGAGGCTTTCTATTCCCATAGAGTTAGCGTATACCGTATAGCAGAAACCCAGAGGCCGTTGTACCCTGTCCCAGTATCAACTCAAGAGCAGAGAAAGGAAAAAGCCCCATTATCATTCCCCTAAGGCAGCAAATACACATCAAACTGCAAACAGTATAGATCTTCTACAGGGCTTTTAAAATACAGATCTGTCACTTTTTAAAATGGCCAAACAGTTGGAGCAAACACTCAAATGTGAAGAATACTTATTCTATGCCAAGCACTACTATAAGGGCATAGCCACTTACTCTAAACCTTTCCAAGGGATCCCAAAGCACCACTGTCCCCAGATTACAGTTGAATAAAGTGAGACACAGAAAGAGAAGCAGCAGGTCAGTCTTTGGAGCAAAGTCACTAATCCTTTTCTTTTTTTATACATAGTTTTAAAAAAAATCATTTTATTGGGGGCTCATACACCTCTTATCACAATCCATACATCCATTGTGTCAAGCACATCTGCTGCAATCATCTTTTTCAAAACATGTGCTTTCTACTTGAGCCCTTGATATCAGCTCATTTTCCCCCTCCCTCCCCACTCCCCTTTCCCTCTTGAACCCTTGATAATTTTTTAAAATCATTTTACTAGGGACTCATACAACTCTTATCACAATCCATACACACATCAATTGTGTAAAGCGCATT